AAAAAAAAAAAAAAAAAAGAGGTCACCGGAGCAGAGGTCTACCACCATCTCACCATATTCCAAGCATCCACTTCTGTCACACAAGCCCTCTTGTCCTCCTTTATCCTTGAATCTGCTAGGCCTTTCTCTTCCTGCTAGGCACTCCATATTCCACATCCTTTGTCCAGTGTATCCACTGTCCCTCCCCTGTACATGTCCAGACCATTTCAGTCTTGCCTCTACTCCAGTCTCATTGTCACAACACACCACCATCAGAATATCTTCCCAAGGGTAACAGGCCTGAAATATAAAAGATCCTCAAGAGGGAACCAAGTAGGCTTTGAAAGGGGAAAGAGTTAAGCAACTGAGCATCAGAAGAGTGTTTCGCCCTCTTGTGATTAATGAAAAGAACACTTGCACAACTGGACGTTACTGCATTGTTTTGTAATTATTTGAAATAAGTTTAAACCTTAAAACATTCTTGAAAACATATTTACTTACCACCCAACTTAAGCAGAAAAAAAAATCTTATTGACGCAAAAAGTAAAGGCAGAGTATTTGCATCCACAGACCTTTTGGTCTTGATGTGTTGCTGTGTGGGTCCTGGCCCATTATTCCACAAAAAGGAATAATGAATCCAATCAGGAAGCGAAAAGCAGAGACAGGCCAGGCACTGTCTACAGTGTACTCCATCCTACACTCTCTCTTCTCGTCACCTGCCACAATCTGCTTGGCGTACACAAACTGTGGGATACTGCCTTTCAGGGCCAGGACCCACACAGCAACACATCCATAAGCACCCTGTTTGGGTCGCCTGTGGTTCTGACACCAGATGGGTCTAATGACCAGCAACAAACGATCCACACTGATCACAACCAGCTGCAGGATGCTGCAGTACATCACCAGGTAAAACAGGCCTCTGATGAGCATGCAGGCCAGCGGACCGAAATGCCAGTGATCGTCGTGGACCAGAGGGACCATAAGAAAGGGGATGGAGAGGCAGCACAGAAGATCAGCCAGAGCAAGGTTGAGGAACCAGAGGGAGGTGACAGAGCGGGACATGCAGAACCCCGTCACCCACACCACCACAGCATTTCCAGGCACACCCAGCAGGACCACAAGGCTGTACATGACCAGAGCCACTATCTGGATCGGCTGAATCTCAGGAGTCACAGACTCAATAATGTCAGGAAATGTGTAATTATCATCAGGAAATGTGTTATTATCATCACTGTAATCCATGATTCCTTACAACTGTGAAGTATAGGGTATAGATTAGTGTCGTGCATAAAATTAACATTAGAATGAGAGAATGATTCATTCAACAATATCTGAACGTGAAAGTTCTAACCGGGCTTTGGAGCGCCTACTGTGACGTCCTTTACTGTGACTTAAAGGAGCGCCTACTGTGACGTCACAGCACGTTTTCCTTTGAAGTGTAAGATTAAAGGCATGTGAGGGCTTAAATACTCCTCAGGTAACAACCACTGCACCAACTGCACCTTCTAAAAGTCATCTAAAGGTTTCGCTATAGGTTCTTTATCATTAGGCAAGGCAACAACTGCACCTAGCGTTGAAAACAAATTTTAACAAAATGAAATGCGGCGCTCAGTATTCAGCCGCCGCACAACTTCTTCAGACACTGATGGCTTTGAGGAGCTTGACAGCCGTTATGTTAAGCCTGATGGGTTCCTTTTACCGATTTTTGATTCCAGAGATGAACAGTTACCCACCTCTGAAACACCTGAGGTTCCCGAAAATCCCCAACCAAATGACCAGTACAGTCATACAATTCCTTCAGATACTGATGTCTTTGATTGTATAGAATATTATTTTGAAGATGATGGGCCCGTTTTTCCAATTATTGATGGCGGAGATGAACAGCTAGACACCTCTGAAACAACAGAGGTTCCCACAAGCAGTGAATTTGATGGATCTGAGGACAATGATAATGTTGTTAGAGGAAGTCTTCAAAAAGAGGAAGGAGAAACAATTTTTTCCCGAGCTCAAACAAGCCTTTCAGCTCTTTCTTCCTTTATTATGGTTCCAGTTGAGTCCGTGAGCTGAGGAGTAACTTATGTCACCGGCCAAATCCTTAATATTGGTCGAGCACCATTTACCTCCCCCACTAGTGAAACTGAACTGCCACCCACTTCTGAAACAGCTGAGGTTCCCACACCCAGTGTTTCTCTAAACACAGATGAAAAAGAACAATCACCCAAATCAAAACAATTTGTAGATTCGAGGGACCGGTATAATACACCCGACTGGGCATTCTTGTTTGAACCTGAAAACACAACAAGGGAACAAAGATTAAATTTGATACCTGAAAGTGAGGAAAGAAACGAACAGTCCCCTCTCTGAAACAGCTGAGGTTCCCATAACCAGTGTTCATATGAACAACTCTGAAGATGAACAGTCTCCCACCAGTGAAACACAGGTTCCTACAGACAGTGTTTCTGTAGATATAACTGAAAATGAACAGTCACCTTCTGAAACAGCTGAGGTTCCTACAACCAGTGTTTATATGAACAACTCTGATGAAGACACTTCAACTAGTGACAGTTACAGCACTGATTTATTCAATGTTTACCCTCCAGAACCTTCAGATATTAACAGATCTGAGGAGAATGAGCAAACGAGCAATGCAAGTATTTTTTCCAGAGTTTACAGAAACCTTTCAGCTTTGTATTCATTTATTAGAGCTCCAGTTGAGTCTCTGGGACAAGGAGTACTTTTCGTCATCAGGCCCATCCTTACTATTTGTGGAGTACCGTTTACCTTATTGTTCAATATGTGTTCGGCAATTACTCGGCGTATGTTTCCCCAGACCCACAGACGAATTTCATCCCTAATTCCTACACTGAGAAGATTCTTACGTGCACATTGTTGTGCAATTGTTATAATTTTTTTCTTCCATGTATTGACAATTGCACTTATAATATTCTTCGGCATGAAAAGATCTAATTAGTTCAATCACTAATTTTAGCAAACAAACACCAATTGCTATAGCAACATTTTCACATGAAATTCAATATCCTTAACATATAATGACATCACAACTATCCCCCAGCCAGTCGCAGCAGATGGCTGCTCCTATGAGTCTGGTTCTGCTGGAGGTTTCTCTCTGTTAAAAGTGAGTTTATCCTCCCCACTGTCGCCTTAGTGCTTACTCATAGGAGATCATTTGATTGCTGGGGGTTTCTCTTTAATACTGTGCGGTTTTAACCTTACAGTATAAAGAGCTTTGAAGTGCCTGTTGTAACTTGGCACTATTAGATAGACTTCAATTGGCTTCAACTGACAAAACATTGAAAAAAAAAACAAAAAAAAATAATCAATAAATAAATAATGGTGTGTGTGTGTTTTTAATTTTTCTATACCAGGGTAAGTGCTAAAGCTTAATGGGTTACAATTATAGCCCATAATTGTAAGAATAATATGTGGCTTTTAACAGATTATTCTTGTAACAAATGTGAATGTGCTGAGTGGCCGTGGCACTGTGCACAGGATAAAACCTCTTGATTTTAGTGTCATGTAGAACTAGATTCAGGCCAAAGATTGCATTTAAGTAACAATGGTGATTAGAAGCCAGTCTTTTGATCTTTTTGTTTTTGTTTTTTTAAAGTCTTTCTGATAAGGTTATTTTAAAGTTTATTTTTTCAAGTCATAGACCTATTTATATTGGTTTCCCTGGTTTTAAACAGAAAATTTAAGCTCTACATTAAAACAAATGCAGTGTTTACCTGTACGGGCACTGACAGCCACTAGAGGTCCCTTTACTCAACGTTTACATTCATCAGTAACTTCCTTCTCAAATGCCAAATGCTAATGCTTGCCAGATTAAATAGGCTTGTTAAGGGACAATACGTTTTGTTCTTAATATCAGATTATGTTATCTGTCATGTCTTTTTCATCATTCATATTTTATTGATGAGACTTTCGATGGAGGAGTAGCAAATACGCAAACATTAACTGGTGATTTCTACAGGGTTTTTACTGGCTGCATGTACAAAAACTCAGAAAGCCTTTCAAGAAGACAGAGTAAAGATGAATTTATAATACCTTCATTTAGACTGGGTATTTATCAGATTTTTGCTGACATTGACTATACTTCAGAATATTTATATATTTTTGCGTTCAACGTTTGATAATGTATCACGCGCAAAAGCATCAGTTCTAAGAGCCGTGGTTAGAGAATGCTTTGTAGTAAATCAGAAGAGTCGACTGCCATTGAGCGAGAGCCGGCTCCTCACTTTATTTCCTTTCGCTGTCACACACTGTTCTTTTCTCTGCACTAACCTGGAAAGTTTTTCAAGCAACCTTTAAATAGCAGTTAGTCTGCCTCAGTTTGATTTGCAGCATGTTTCGTGATACGAAAAGCATAATGCCACATCCAGTATCTGATTTAAAAACATAAGGACTTACATGCAAGCTTTAAATTTCCAGTTTATCAAATACCACCGAGAAGTCATTACCTTTAAATATAACTGCTCTTCTTCCTCTCCTGACCTCTTTCTTATCTTGCTCCATCTCTGAATGAATTTAGCTCTTTCTATTTTCTTCCTATGAAATACAGCAGCTGGAGCTTTAGCTAGCAACACACTGTGAGACAAACAGCACGCAAACAGTTTGTGTGTTTGCTGAGCTGATAGAAATGCTATCTGTTCCAATAGTAATAACTTAAAAGTAGGGCTGTCAGCGTTAAAGCGTTAATGCCCTGTTAAAGCATTAATGCTGACAGCCCTACTTAAAAGTGGAAATAAATAAATAAATTATAAAGATCAATCAATTGGACCAGTGTGGCAAAGCTGTAATGTTCCACTTGGGAAAATAAATCTGTTGCACATTTTTATTGGCCTTCAGACAGGCCTTCTGATTGCTACAGTGCCGAACAACACAGGCCAAAGGAAAAGAAACTGTTGTGAGGAAGGCAAGGGAAGAGCAGGGAGGAAAGGATAACTGGAAAACCATACTATGTTATGCCATGTTTTGATTTTCTTTAAAGGGTAGAAAACATGTTGGATCACACTACATTCAAATCTACCACAGAAATGTAAATTGCATGTTGTTCTTTACCACTGATATTAACTAAAATGACCAGTTTGCCTGCTGACCCTGAAAAGTTTACACCTGCACAGGTGCATTGTCAAGCCCTGACTGCTGGCAGAACGCAAGTTCTGAGAAATTACCATTTCAGGTCCTCCATAAACCCATCATGGTGCCTCTTCAAAGTGATGTCTGCAGCTCTACAGAAAGATTCTGCCAGTCACCCGAACCATGACAGCAGCCCCCCCGTCACCATGGGCTAGTATACTGTGGTGAAAGTTTGCGTGACTCAGTCCTGAGTGGAATGTCCTTGCCCGCCAGCCATACGTTTTGTCCCCCCGTGTAAACTGGAGCAATTGAACGGCGTTGATAGGCATACTGGTGTTGGCAGTTGACTGACCTGAGTAGTGCTTGCCTAGTCTGATCCCAAGCTCGTCGACAACGCTGTAGATGGTGTTGAATGGAAAGCTACTCAAGTTGCAGAGGATGTGAGTGAATTACGAGCGTATTCTGCCCAGTGCAGACGGGTGGACCATGCAAGGTCATGCAGTGGAGTATGGTTTCTAATTCTTGATTTAACCGTTCAGTCTGACCGTTTGTTTGGGGATGATAACCAGAACTAAGACAAGGTTTGGCTCTGAGAGCGGTGCAGACAGCCTTCCAGGCTCATGAGGTGAACTGCAGGACGCGGTCGGAGACTATTTCTACAGGTAGTCCTCTGAAAATGAAAATGTCCTCTGAAAAACCAGAATTTGAATAGTTTCAGTGGTAGTGGGAAGCTTATCTAAGGCGCCAAAGTGGGCGGCTTTGGAGGACCTGTCAATGATGGTGAGTATGTAGTAGTTTTTGTCAGCTGACAGGTGACGAGCATGATACGTGACCATGGCACAGGGAGCAGTTGTAAAAGCCTAGCTGGGTGTTAAGTGTTAGACTTGTTGCGTGCACATACTGGACAGGCAGCCACATACTCTCAGACATCCTTTTCCAGGGTGTCCCAATAGAAATGTCTTTTAATTAGGGAACTATTCCTACCTCTTCCTGGGTGGCATGCAAACTTCGCCTTATGAATCCAGGACCTTAGAGCGAGCTGCAGCTGGAATGAATTGTCAGGTCCTGTGCCTGGGTCAGGCTCCATCTCCAAAATCCAATTGATTTCCTCCTCCACCTCCCACATGACCGCCCCCACCTTGCAGTTGGCAGGAAGGATGGAAGGAGCCTCTTCCGGTTCCGTGCTGTGGGCAAACTGCAGAGAGAGCGCATCCGGTTTGATGTTACGGGAAACTGGTCGATATGAAATGGAAACATTGAAAGAGTTAAAGAATAAAGATGTGCCTGATGAGCATTTACCCTCTTGGCTGAGTGAAGATACATGAGATTCTTATGATCTATCCAAATTACAACGGGATGCTCAGCACCCTCCAGCAAGTGCCACCACTCCTCCAATGCAAGTTTCACAGCCAGGAGCTCCCTGTCCCCCACATCATAATTTTGTTTTTGTGGGACAAGGGCAGCGAGAGAGAAAGGCACATGGTTTGAGCTTGGAGGGTGTTTTGTAAAAGCACTACTCCAACCCCAACATCAGAAGCATCAACTTCTATGATAAATGGTTAATGGACATCTGGGTGAATCAGGACTGGAGCCTTGGAAAATAGTTTTTGAGTTATGCAAAAGCGGCTCAACTACCTGGTTCCCCAGAAAACGGCTCTGGCTCAGGGGAAGCAGCGTCCCGGAAACAGGGCGTAAACGAAAACATGGCTGAGCCTTGGGGAATAGGAGTGGCTCTCTCTAGAAGAGGTGGCGGTATAGGTGCAGCTGCAGTAGCTTCCAATGTGGGAGCTCCACTGGGCTGGGATTCTTGGATGGCCGTAAGAATCTTAGCCTGGCTGTCACTGAGGGATTTTCACTGAGCTAAAAGGTACTGGATTGATTGCTTTTGGCTACCAAGTATCGCACCCTGCATCGTGACAGCCGTCCGGGTTGGATCTGCAGGGTCCATAGTCCATAGCCAGATCGTGTTGTCACAGCTATTTGCAAGCTTTGCAAGCTCCTTTGACTACGATAACCTGGATGACTGAGAACCTTCACAGTCACAGCTATTATTTCATACTATTTAATTATCAATAAATTTTTACAGAGAAATAGACAAAAGACAGTCTCCCTTCAGCGGAAGAATAAAATGATATGGTTTGAAAATGCCATAAATAAACCTAGGTGCAACTGGAGAGACTATTGTTGGCATTGCTGTGATTCTTATACCTGGTGCACTAATTTGTTGAGAAAACGTTTACTCTTATTCAAACTGTTTTTGCGCCTTCTCTCAGTTTAGCACTAGGTTTATGAACTTGCTAGCTACTAGATAAGAGCCATGGCTAAACTTTTCCGGAAGGATTAGCCGTTAGGGGGCGGGGCTTTTTTCAGTCCTTGTGAACTTTTGTAACATATGAACTGTATATTCTCTACCCCTGTATTTATTCTAATCGTTTGTGGCAGTTTTTGAACATCAGTGGCATCTGTTAATGCCAAATCTAGGCAAGGGGTTGGAGGTGTGGTGTGCTCAAAATATAGCTATTCCCCCCCCCCAAGTAATTCTAACATTTTTGGGGGGGCAGAAAAGGGAAAATAAGAATTTATCAGGGTTGGCGGAAGGAGAACCCAAATGCTGGACTTTTAGAATGGAGAAAGCGAGTTTATTTACACAGAAAACAGTGCCAACAGTCCACAGTGTGTGCTTTCCCAATTCCCCGTGCCATGATTCCTCTCCGTGATGCGTGGTTGTGCTTTGTCCTCCTCGATGCCTGTGTTCAACTGTGTACTGCTCCCTCCACACGTTTCCGTAATCACCCTGGAAACAAGAGATGCCACAATGAGTACTGCCCCATCCACTGGCCGACTAAACACGTTAACCATTCCAACAAGAAAGTATTGAAAACCCGAGCTCCGCACTAACTGTATTTCTAGTTTAACGATCCCGTGCCGACTGCTGCTCCACTGCTCTCTTAAGTAGAGCCCCTTGATTAGCAGATCAGCAACAGGTGAGTTATTATCACAGGTGTGGCTGGCTCCAAGGCAGGGACTCTCCAGACCTGGTGGGGCAGCAAAACTGACACAACAACACACAGGGAAACGAGGAACGAGGAGCAGATCACACCACAACCATAAATGATTAAGAAAGACGAATAAAACTCTTAATATTCATTAAACTCAAAAAATAACACATGATCCCCAGGTCACAGACCCAGGCCCATGACAGAATTAATTGTTTTACTATGTGCACAAATTATAATCGTGCATTTTATCATTACTTCTATGAAATTATGGAAGCATTATGGAAGCTGGCAGCTTGGTGCTACTTGCTGTTAGAGAGGCTGGATGTTTGGATGGTTAGAGGTCAATCAACCCTGAATTAGACAAGCGGAAGAACATGGATGGCATCTTATTTTTATGTACTGGACATTTTAATAATAAGTTCCACTTTCTTTCCTAAGAGGGTCCTCTACACTTCTATACAAATCTAATATATTCATATGTATTATTCCTTTCAACTTAATAATTTGCATTTTGCATAAGCCTTTCCAGTTCATTAAAGACTTGCTAATGTTTGTTTTAATCAGCTTGTTGTTATTAAATAGAGACAGGCAGTTCTGCATTTTGCAGCTGTTTCCTGCTTATTACACAGAAACTACCAGAGATATTTCCAGGTAATAGTCACACTTCTTAATAGGTTATTAATGTGTTATTAAATGGAAACAGGCAGTTTTACATTTTGCTGCTCGATTTTCTGCTTATTACAATTTAGCAGGACTTGAAATGTTTGTCAGTGGGTAAAAAAAAATAGTATTATGCACTCAGAAAACATGTTTGAAACATGTTTGAAACATGTTTGTCCTACAGCAGCCACAGTAGGCCACATGTAGTGTCCAATACACTTATATGATACAGGTTATTAATCATAAGGTCCACCTGTTTTTTAACCTTAAGAAATGAAGCTTCAGAGATGTAAAGTGTGTCTTCCTCTTGTGGTGTATGAAAATAACACTTACTGCACCTTTCTGTAATTACAGGTGTGAAGAAATCAAACTTCTGTGTATATATTTTATTTCTGTCAAACAATTTGAACAAAAACATGACAAAAAGGCAAACGATACATGATAAAAAAAAAAACAAATACCTTAATAGAATCTAAAATATTCCTTTTGTGAGAGAAAAAACTAGAAGTGCCAAGAATTTTGTTGCATAAGACATGATGTTTCACAGAAATGTTGCAGAATGAGTAACGGTTCCACATTTGAAACCTCTAACGATTCTTTAAAACATATTTACTTACCACCGAACTTAACCAGAAAAAAATCTTAGTAGCTCATGAAAAGTGAAGGCAGGGTATTTGTATCCACAGACCTTTTTTTGCTCATATAAATCAAGTCAAATCTAATGGCTCAAATCCAAGCCAAGGCCAGCAGAATTTACTTATTCTTTTGTGAAACTTCAACTGTGATGGAAATTGTTATATTACACCAGTCCTGTCTGTGTATTAGAGTCAGTACACAATCATATTGTTGTCATCTCCTTGCCATTACTGGTGCTCTTGGTGTCCATATGGGTGATGCTGATCTTGGTAGTCGGATCCTCACTGATAAAGTGGAGGATGTTACGCAGTGAGCGGTTCATGCTGTCTTTGAAGCTTTGACCCAGACACACATAGAGCAGAGGGTTGAGGCAGCTGTTGAAGTAAGCCAGGCAGAGCGCTATAACGTGTGCCAGGTGAAGTTTGGGACTCACAGGGGAAGCCCGAGGGGTGGTCAGTATGAGGAAATCCACAATGTGCAGAGGTATCCAGCACAAGAAGAAGCTCAGCACCACAGCGATGATGACCCTCAGGGTTTTCTTGGACCGGGTCCGACCTCGTGTCATTCTCCTCTGTGTCTTGTTGAAAACCACCAAGTGACAAACTAGAATAACCAGGAAAGGAATAATGAATCCAATCAGGAAGCGAAAAGCAGAGACAGGCCAGGCACTGTCTACAGTGTACTCCATCCTACACTCTCTCTTCTCGTCACCTGCCACAATCTGCTTGGCGTACACAAACTGTGGGATACTGCCTATCAGGGCCAGGACCCACACAGCAACACATCCATAAGCACCCTGTTTAGGTCGCCTGTGGTTCTGACACCAGATGGGTCTAATGACCAGCAACAAACGATCCACGCTGATCACAACCAGCTGCAGGATGCTGCAGTACATCACCAGGTAAAACAGGCCTCTGATGAGCCTGCAGGCCAGCGGACCGAAGTGCCAGTGATCGTCATGGACCAGAGGGACCATAAGCAAGGGGATGGAGAGGCAGCACAGAAGATCAGCCAGAGCAAGGTTGAGGAACCAGAGGGAGGTGACAGAGCGGGACATGCAGAACCCCGTCACCCACACCACCACAGCATTTCCAGGCACACCCAGCAGGACCACAAGGCTGTACATGACCAGAGCCACTATCTGGATCGGCTGAATCTCAGGAGTCACAGACTCAATAATGTCAGGAAATGTGTAATTATCATCAGGAAATGTGTTATTATCATCACTGTAATCCATGATTCCTTACAACTGTGAAGTATAGGGTATAGATTAGTGTCGTGCATAAAATTAACATTAGAATGAGAGAATGATTCATTCAACAATATCTGTGACAAATGTTTCATCGAAAAGATTTTCATGATTCACTAAAATAATGCAGTTCAATCCAGAAAAGCTAATGTTTGTTTTTTAAATTCAAACTAATACTTTAGTATTAACTCACCAACTGTTCAGCCTCTGTTTGTGTTGCTCTGTCACCACTGAGAGGAAGTTGTAGAGCTGGTCTGCTTCTGTGCTTTATACTCTCACCCCACCCCATGCAAACACAGTTGCACAAGATTCCTGCTAAAAGTACAAGTCCTCTGCATGTGAGTTTACATTTGATGACTGCAATCAAAAAAATTGGTTAATGTAAAAATGCCGTTTTTACTCACAGTAATGTGAGTAAAAACATTACTGTGAGTCAAAATTCAGTCAAAATTTAGGTGTAACTTCACAGGAAATAATTAAATCATAGTTCATACACTGAGAAAAAAAACAAAAACAAATGGAAGCTGACCTCGACTACTTTGTCGTGCTTGCTTTATTCACCAGTTTACTGGTAGTGCTACAAATTATTTTTCCCTTATTTCAGTGCTCACTATAAAATAAAAGTCTATTGATATGTCAGGATCGGTAATTTTAAAAAATAATTACTTCAAATGTCTATCTTGTAAAAATAAAAGTCTTAATAATCGTGTTTAAAGTATGAATACTAAATGTCATGGAGTAGCCCTGTGACGTCTAATCACACAACACAGCATGCTGGTACTGTACCCTTGCCACACGTGAAATTCTAGGAAATTAAAAGTTTTAGAGTTGTAAAATATAAATCTCAGTTGTACTCCCAATTGCAATTGGTCGGGGGGTTTTTTAGACCTTTAAGCCTAGTATTATAGTCATTAGGGGGATTTAGTCAATGTGCTATAAAGGAGCAAGTAAAGTTTTTGAGATGTTTGCAGCATGATTTCATTGTATGTGGTTTCAGATAGCTAGATATGTTTCCTACTTTTACCTAAAACTTGTCTTTTGATAATGGATTAAGCAATGTTATAAAATAATTTAGTATTTAATTGTTTTGTTTTTTTTTGGATTATGTGGCAGGAGGTTGTGTATCATTGTGTATCAGGCCATGGTGCTAAGGAGGCCACAGTGGCTGTACTCCCAGGACCTCCAGCTGTAATGAGTCACAGCCTGGTCCAGAATGGCTTCCTCAGTCAGTGTATTTAGTTTTGCATTGGTGTATTGTAGTGCCAATAACACTGAACTGTTCAACTGTGTGAAGGCCTTTTTATTTTCTGCAGTAATTAATCATTTTGCAAAAACACTCAAAAATGATTTCCTGTTTCAACGGGACAAAAGACTTTATTGTCAAACTTGAAACAATAATTTTACAGTAACACATCATCTTTATCATATATACATATTATTCACAAATTAGCCTACTCACAACCTATAGTACAGTAAAAGAACTAGAGTTTCAGCTGTGGTAATAGAAAACAAGTAGAGCTCCCTTTGTGTTGATCACCATGCATCACATTTCTGCAACCTTGTTGAAAATGCTGATATTACACAACAGCAGTGAACATCTGTCACTCCCATGATGTAGCTGCCTCATAGACGAGTTTAAATCGAACAATATCATGCCTGAATTTTAACGCAAAGTAGGTTTTTAAAAATGTGATTCTCCAAACATTCAAGACATATCAGAGCAGAACTGCATGTGTGTCCAGAGAACAGCCAACTCAGTTTACAGTACTGTAACACATACTACATACTAAAGGTATGACTAGGTAAATATCCTCAAGAAGACTGACTGTGGGACAGAAAAATGAATTAAAGAGACAGAGAAACACATTTGCATAAACATAAATACATGTGAGGAAAATTGAGTGGCAGGATTTCCTGTTTTTAACAAAATCAGGAAATAACAAAGAAAATCAAAAACACAGAGTCAGCAAAATGTTCTCTAGAAATTCTAAAAATTGCTGACTTTGGAAGAACGTGGGTTTGCTTCCTGTTGCACACGCAGTCTTGTCATAGTTCACCTCTTATTGTGCGCATTGGTATAAAGACGAACATTAAAGTCCCAGCTGGCATGGAGTTGTTACCGTGTAAAACACATTATCAGTACAGTATTTGTTTAATTTTGTCATAGTTGCTGTCATAAGTACATATTGCGATGCTTCCTCGCTGGTTTCTCACAGACGGTGAGTCCTCAGAGGTAAGCTCAGTTGAAGGCTGGAGCACTGCTGGGTGGAAGTGTAGGAGTGTCATCTCTGAATGCATCCGACTGAAGGTCTGCAGAAAAAATAGGGTGAGTTTGAAAATTAAATTTCAGTGTAGAATACTTTCACCGAACAAGTTATTTTTTCATACCGCTCTGGTGCCTTAAACATGATGAAACGTTTTTTCATACTCTTTCTTTTTATAAATTTAATGAATGCGTATTTTCCAAAATAAAAACCAGCAACAAGCGCTTCTTAATTCAGTTCAATTCAATTTTATTTATACAGCGCCAAATCACAACAACAGTCGCCTCAAGGTAGACCCTACAACAGCACATACAGATAGAAACCCAACAATCATATGACCCCTTAAGAGCAAGCACTTTGGCGACAGTGGGAAGGAAAAACTCTTTTAACAGGAAGAAACCTCCAGCAGAACCAGGCTCGGGGAGGGGCGGCCATCGGCCGTGACCAGTTGGGATGAGGGGAGGAAGACAGGACAAAACACATGCTGTGGAAGCGAGTGGGAGATTAATAACAAGTAGTGATTCAATGCACATATTAACACATAGTGAGTGAGAAAGGACATATCCTGGTCAAAAAAGACTGAAAGATTCCTCACAGTGTCACAGGAAGTCAAGGTAATGCCATCCAGAGTAAGTATCTGGTTAAATACCATATTCCTAGGACTTTGTACAAGTACAATAACCTCAGTTTTATCTGAATTTAGAAGCAGAAAGTTAGAGGTCATCCAGGTTCTTATATATTTAAGGCATTCCTGCAGTTTAACTAATTGGTGTGTGTTATATGATTCAAACCACTGCAGTGCAGTATCTGTAATACCTTAAGGTACTGCACTGCAGTGGGTACTGCGCATACCTTATCATTAGCTTAGATGTCTCCTAAGTAGCCGAAAAGTAAAGCAAAACATATTAAAACATTTCAAATTATATTCCAAATAAACAAGCATGGGCTTATTAATCCTTTACATTAACTATATAATACATACTACTGCATTTCATTAACAGCTTCGACACTGGCAAAGACTCACACACCTTGTAGTCTGTATTCTGTATTTAAAAACCTTCTCTCCTTTGTCTTTTTCAGTCATTCAGAAGCTTTCCCCAGTCCTTAATCTTGTGTCCAAAGTTGAAACCGTTTAAACAGTTGATTGTTTTATGTTTTATGGGACAATTCTCCATAACTTTACCTCCGTCTGTAACTCTGCATCAATTAGATGTAGCAGAAACCTCTACTCTTCTCCATGTTTCCTAATAGTAATGTCCCACAGGCTGTGAAGTAAACCACAGCAGCAGGTCACCACAATAATGTTGACGATTTTGTTTGCCAGGCAAATCCACCTTGTTTGGATTTTTGTGTATGCACTCCCTGACAGAAATAGTTTAATACTAATACCATTTTGTACCTACATGTTAGGTTACATCTTTGAGTATGTTAGTGGCAGAGGGGTGGTGGTTTTTCTGTCTGAATCATCAGGCTTTACTTCCTGATTTGGAGAGCTCTAATGCTGAGCTCTCAAAAATGCAACAGGAAAAGGATGAGATGGATGACTTTGTGGGTTGCCAATCCAACTGAAAGTTAGAAATGGTACTAGTACCTTTGGTTGTAGCTCCAGCTAGTACATCCACTTTTACACTTTACACAGGATGGTCTTGTTTGAATAATGACTGTGTGTCTGGTATTTCGTTGTGAAGCACTTTGTGATGTTTATCCCAAAAACTGCTATAAAAAGGAAATTATACTGTCATACAAAATACAGACATTGACTTGAGAAATGAGAAACCTTTTGTTTACCAATGAATCTAAAACTTATCAAAACTTTCTGTCACCTGACTGCCTAATAAACTGATCCCGTACGCTTAATTTCTATATAGGAATTAATAAAAACTAAAGTGATTAAAAATAAGCGGTACCACAGTGAGTAAAGGGGCAGCAAACAAAATTTCATGTTTATGGTTTCACATGCATATGTTTTCTTTTTTTCCCAATTTGTAATAAAACAGCATTTGAATATATGCGACTACCTTATGTGCAACTCACCAATGAGTGTCAAGCCTTGCTGCTGATTCAGTATAACCGATGTCTCCTCTTCCTCCTCCTCTTCTCCCCAATCTGCAATGTTGGCCGGAGGGATGCACTGCTCCAAGAACAGGTCCTCGTCATCTTCCTCCATGTCCATGTTCTCTGGAGGCCAACGCAGCTCTCCACTCTCCACCTCGCTCACCTCAGTTGGTTCCACAACAATAGAGGGTAGACGTTCCTTCTCGTGCTCGTGGCCCAGACAGTTCAGAGAGGTCTCGGGGTCCAGGACAACCTCAACAGGGTCAGGAAAGATCTGGGGGAAGAAGTTGATTGTGTCATGAGCAGTATATTGAATTAAAACTCTGTAGAAGCCTATAAATAAACTTAATTAGGAATTCTACAAATTGTTTTATGTTTTTCCTTATCTATCCCAGAATCACACACACATGCACACACACACCTACGCAATATCGGGGCCTTGGATTTTGTGTACTTACTATTATTCGGGGTTTTAATCCTTGTTTGTGTCTGCATTTGAGTCTCTTCAGCTAAGCATTTCAAGACATTTTAAAGTATCAACTGTAACACAGAACTCCAATCATAACTAGAAAAATTTGCATTTCCTGCGAAAATACTGTGTGGATGCCTTAACGCTGAAGATTTCTGCTGGAAAAAAAGCGTTGCCCTGAGCAGGATTCAAACCTGGCCCTTCTGGTCTCAAGGCGGCTACTCATCTCACTGAGCCATACTCATTTTCACAAAGAAGAGGTGGAGAGACTGGGAATTGTGCTGAAATGAGCAGAAGCTACTGAGAATTGTGCTGATAAGAGGTGAAAAGGCTAAACATTTTGCAGAAAAGAGGTGAATCAACAGAATTTCTGCTGAAAATAGTTTTTTTCTGAAAACAGCTGAGATTTGTGCTAATAAGAGGTGAAAAGGCTGAAATTTTTGCAGAAGAGGTGAATAAGCAGAATTTGGGCAGAAAAGAGGTGAAAATTCTGAAAATTCTGCTGAAAAGAGTTCAGTCAGCAGAATTTCTGCTGAAAAGAGGTGAATGAGCAGAATTCTGCTGAAAAGAGGTTTTTGCTGAAAAAAGCTGAAAAAGCTACTATTTGTGCTGAAAAGTGGTGAAAAAACTGAAAATTCTGCTGAAAAGGGCTGAAAAAGCTGAAATTGGTGTTGAAAAGAGTTAAAAAAGTTTAACTGTTAACTGAAAGAAATGTTGCCATAAGCGGGATTTGAACCGGGGCCTCCCAGTCTGAGAACGGATGCTCATCTCACTGAGCTAAAACACAGGTCAACCCGGCAAGGAAAACCAGTGAGGCCACTGATAATATGGCAGAAATGGGCAAAAAATATTGCAAAAAACATTCAATATCTCAAAAAGTATAGAAGTTATGAGCACCAAACGTCATAGCCGACATTAGCAGAAAGAGCAGAATCTTCTGCTAATTTTCTGCTAATTTTCTGCTAATGTTATAGTTGTGTGGATGCCTGAAAAGGCATCCACACAACTACAACTCAATCAGACTTAGCTGCTATGCTAAAAATATTTGACAGAGATCTGTCGCAGTATGATTCTAGGGTATTATGTTACCTGGATTGGCAGTCTTTGGTCTTTACTCTGCATGTCTTCACATTCTGGATTCTGACCACTCATCTCCTCCATACCTCTGCAGGTGAAACAAATTTATATCAATCCTACAAGAGGAATTAAAAAAAAAAAAAAAGCATGCACCACATTTAGCACGGACTAAAAAATTCTTTCTAATACTGCAAAAGCACATGAGTGTGTGCATGTTTACTTTAGAAGAGTCCAGAACCCCGATTGAAGTGCAATCTAAATGTCAGCTTGATGTAAAGTGCTCAAAGGAAATTCATGATGCTGCTGACACAGCTGTGCAGCCCCCACTGCTGCGTGCCAATCGAACTACAAATTGTGTCGTTTGGTTTTCCATGAAACAGCATCATTGCCGCTTGTGTCATTGCTGAATTACACTAGGATCACATTATCCAACATGCCCGGCTTTTCATTCGTCAGAGATTTCCTGCCCTACATCATGCTGGCTAAAGCTGGTCCGACCATGCACAAATATGTGCATCTCCTAATACATGCAAGCACTCTCTAGATTAGTGCAGACCTCAAATGGGGTTTGATACAAAAATGGATTATGTAGTTTGGCGATCATATTTTATTTTCTGACAGGAAGCCAAGCATCCTGTTTTGGCTTGCGTCCCTCACACCCCCCAATCTGCCTCAGTTATCAGTAAAGTTTTTGTTACATAAAAAAATATGTTTACATGACCGTCATCAGACGTCTAGCCGCCAGCAGCTTTGATGAAGCCATTTGTTTCAGTTACATGGATAAGTCTGTGTCCATAGCCAACTTTAGTCTGTTTACGTTGTCTAGAAAAGCAGACGAAAGGGATTAAGAAGGGCTGAGGATCCATCTGAATCCTCTTTTTATCCCTCTTCCTTGCTTCCTTGTCTCTATTTCTCAGTATGTCTCAGCGTGTGTCCTCTCTCCATAAGTACCAGTCACGGTTTGTTGCCTGGTGTAATGACACAGTCTGCTCAGTCTCGCTTTGTGTTTAATGAAATTTCCACTGAAAGACAGATCTAATCTACTCTTTGGAATTTGCAGTCACATGTCTCATCAAACTAAAGAGGCAAATCTAATTATTTTTACATAGAAGCCGAGAAGATGAACGGGACCTTTTAACCTCTTCCTGAGATATGCAGCACTCAGACCCCAGTTCTTCACTCTTGCATCAAGTGAAAGCACAAAAGAAAGCATAAACAAGCCAATGCAAATGTCTGCTCGGAAGCTTTCAAAGGCATTTCCAGCCAAAATTAAAATGCATGAGGATCAGTGCTTTGGATCAAGAGCATTAAGGATGGTCTGAGAATATGTAAAAAATATTTGAAATCCAAAAATAATTTGTTTTCTTATATTTTCGTGTGTAGCCTTAGACTTCCATCAGTTTGTTTCCCTCTTCCTCTCTCTCTCTCTCTCTCTCTCTCTCTCTCTCTCTCTCATTGAATCATTTTTTAATAGCTGACTTCAGTCGATTTGTGATTTTCCTATTGACATGCTCAAAGTTACATATTGCGTGACTACATGCAACTGAAGAAACGCTAAGCCAGTTTGCACAACTTGCAAAATGAGGACATCGTGTTCTTCCCCAAATAGGATCAGCTTTGGGAGTACTCTATCATTTTTTTTGACCCACTTGTGAATGTGCGCGGCCCTACAATTCAATTTCTGATATTGTGCTGTTGACAATTGTGCTGCACTAAGCTGTTTGTGTGCCACCTGGGGTTGGAAACTATTATGATGAATGAGCTTAACCCCCATGTAATCCCTCTCATGTACACTCGCTCTAAACACCTGCACGTTTTAGCACGGTCAACAATCGGGCTTTGTGTGCCTTGTGCGCTGCATTTGGCTGTTAATGCAAAAGTATGCTTTATCACTAGCAGACATTTAGGCTTCTTTTATGTGCACAGGCCAGATGATTAGTTTTAAAATATGCATCTAATATTACTCAAGTGTTAGTGTTAAACCAAGCCTGAAGTTTACACCTAAAGGTGAAGATTTGTGTCACCAGAAAGAGGAAGCTACAGGCCCTAAAGAGCCGCACCATCGCAAAACGTTTGATCATTAAAACGATAAAGTTTTATCTCATTTCCTGTTTCTCTCACATTTTCCTGTAGATGTTTCATTTTTCTAACTTCACACATTTACTTTTTTTTTCAGGTCAGAGGCCACATAACTGGTTCACAATCTGGCCACAGCAGTTACACTATAAGGTGCTGTGGTTGTGCAATAAATGAAAACGTACTGATGAAAACATGAGGAAAGATTGCAGCAAACTTTAAAACATTCCTATTTTATTGTTGCTATTTTTTATACTTCCCCAGCATCACTACACTTAGATGTTTCTGTAGTTGAAAATGTGAGATGGGAGGTATGAAATGGCTCATGGCCTCTGTTTGCTCTTGACCTTTCAAGACCACAAAAACATTCAAAACACGCAAAAAGTAAGAAAAAAAAAGGAGAAAAGCGTTTTCACTTTTTACAAACATACAATAAATAAGACTGGATCCTGTGAAATCTCCAACATGTACAATATATGCCAGTTAAACCTTTTATAGGTCAGGCCAACATCTAGTTTTGTCATTTCTAATTAATTTTTTATTTTTATCTAATTTTGACTTTTTGTTTTTGTGGATCAGTTTTGTTGTATTTTGTTTCCAGAGGGGATTTTCTTCTTTCAGTTTAGTTTATATTCTTTGAATTTATTTATTTTAAGTGTATTATTTGTTAGTTTCATTGTCGATTTTAGCTTTTCTAATTATTATTGTATGGTGGGAATATCTCAGAGGCAACATTTAGGAAAAACAATAAAAACAGAACTTGAAACATTTTTATTTTATTTTTGTTAGTTTTCCCGAGTTCACAAAATAGTTTCAGTTTTGTTTCAGTCTAATTCATATTTTTAAAGATGTCGAATACTTTGTCACAATTTTTGTCTATGTTAATCTGGGTTTATTGTTTAACCTCCAGAAACACTATTGTGTAAAGCTAGTTATTAATGGTCAGTGGACCATGTGTTACGACTGATTCACTGTTTCCATATTTGTGACTTGGAGGAAAGTTTTTAAAGTTCACAGGGTTCATGGATCCATCTGCTATCACAGCTGCCCACAAGGACCAAAAAGCTTCAGAAAAAGTTGCTGAGGTGACCTAAGGGTGGAATGAGTTTGTCATCAAGAGTTATATGTTTCCACAGCGTGGGTCTTATTTCTGATAATGGCACAATCTGCTGCTTGACTGTACATGACTGTATCTTCCTGACACTTCTGCTGAGTTACTTTCAGAAGATGCACAGTGACGATAAGATCTTAAAGTGGAACCTGAGGGGGACTTGCAGCAGTTTTCAATTTAATTGTTATCCAAGAATTAAAGTGCACACAGTCACACGACCACAAGGTTCATCACCTCTTACCCATCAGTTGCTGTCAGGCATATGTCCTCTCCATCTTGGCACAGTGTCACAGTGGTGAAGCTCGGCTCATCCGCTGGTGATACGAGAGGGGTTGCAGGGGGAGGTGAACAACTCCCACAGCAGTCCCCCCCTGCAGGACCCTCAATGAGGTTTTCAGCCTCCAGGGCGAAACCTGGATGGGGAGGGCTCCAAACTCTCAGGGATCTCAGGTGTTTAGCAGATGGTGAAGGAGGTGGCTCGACTATTCAGGCAGGAGAGCACCCGTGTCTCTCTTAGGTGCTGAGTTTGCTTGTCCAAAGCGTACACGCTCTCCGCCGTCTCCCGTATCCGACTTCCTTCCTCGTGTCTCTGTCATTATCCCTCCCTGTCCCACCCCGCTGCCAGGCTTTGGAGAGGAGCAGGATTAACGTCTCTTTTGATTACGGAGGCTGCATGGGTGACGTCAGGCAGGCTTGACAGTCCCCTCTGATGAGTTGGCACACTGGGTCGCTGGTGCATCTGGACAGAAACATACAAAGGGCACACAGATGGCCTGTGGTCGTGCTGTTGGCGGATGTTTAAATCAACTTGCCATGGCCACAACTGCACATGAGACGGACATGTATTTGCATGTTTTATTACGAAATCCTTTCTATCCCTCCCATTCTGTCTGTTTC